ATTATATAATTTTATATTTATAATTATAAAATTATATGCCATGCCAAATATTACAGTGTTCTTAGTTTTTTTTTTCAAATTTGAGTAGGACTAAGACTGTTGGGACACAGTAGCGGGATAACCACATAGAACTCAGTAACAAGAAATTATCTTGACTTTCAGAATAAGCCTGCGCCAAGAAGAACTCTGAAGATGATTCAGCCTTCTGCAGCTGGATCTCTTGTTGGAAGAGAAAATGAGGTACATGTTAGAGGGATAAGAGAGAGGTGATAATGCCTCTGAATGAAAAATGTTTCCAAGGTTTTCTTCAAATATCTGATATACTTAAGTTGTTCAAATGTGGAAAGATGTAAGCAGTTATATACTTCTCAAAGCAGTGGTTTTTGGGGGCCCAGGGAGATAGCTCAGTGGCTTAAGTGTCTGCCTGGCAAGTGCAAGGTCCTGAGTTCAATCCCTGGTACCAAAAAAAAAAAAAAAAAAAAAAAAAAAGGGCAAAAGAAAGAAGGGCAAAAGATATATTCATGTATATATTATATGCAAGGTAAGTTGGATAATTGTACTGCCCATCTCTGCTGTTTTTTTTTTTTTTTTTTTTTTTTTTTTTGCAGAACCGGGAATTGAACTCAGGTCCTTGTGCTTGCCAGGGAAGCACTTATTCCACTAAGCCATCTCCCAGGCCCCTGTGCTGGTCTTTTAAGTTCTTTTTTTTTTTTTGGCCAGTTTACCACCCTGAGGATGGGATGGGGTGCCAGGGATTGAACTGTGGTCCCCTGTACCTGCCTAAGCTTCCCTAAGCAGGTTCTTTAGATTGCTGAGCTATCTCGCTGGCCCTCTGCTGGTCATTTAAAAGGAGCAGTTAATGCTTAAATTTTTTTTTTTTATTCTTTTATATTTTTCTTATAGCTTTTTTGTTTTTGTTGTTTTGTTTTTAACCAATTTTGTATGTTTATCTGATAATCTAAACAATAATTTGAAGATAACATCACTCAATACAGCAATCATTGTTGAATTCCTGTTACTTTCTTTAGTGAAGTTTTGTATCGTTTCTAATGTTTTTTTCTACTGTTTTGTATTATTTAAAAAAATTTTAAAAAACTTTAAAAGTGGTTTGGTGTTTCCAGATTTGTTTAATTTCCAAATTTGTTTAATTTGGAAATTCAGAATTGCTATGAATACGTACAGTAAAATTGGTGTGATGTAATCATCTAGTAGGAGTAATGTTTGACATTTTGAGAATAAAATGGTAGCTCCTTTTATTTATACCTGTGAGTATGTGATGAAATCAGGGGTGAGCAACATGCTTAGGCTTGGGTTGTGGTCATCACATTTTTTGATGATCTCACAGCAAGAAGTTTTTTCATTATCCTCCTTTAGCTTTCAAAGATCTTGCAGGTTGAGGATACTGCCTTTCTATGGGACTGGACTAAAACACAACATTTAACACAAAAAAAATAATTTCAGCTAAACCTTAGACCAAGTTTAATTCATGCTGCGACTAAAATTCCTAAAATGGTACTATACATTTTGATAGAGTCTTGAATTTTAGAGTTTTTTGAAAGACGTAAAAAAAAATAGATGCTGTATATTAATTTTTTGGTATATAAATGACTAAACTACCTAGCTTTCTTATTCACTGTATGTAAATATTTCCTTTACAGTTGCCTAAAGGCTTATCCAAAAGGAAACATTCAAATGACCAGTTAACACCTAAGACTTCAAGCTCTGGAGCAGTTATTGACCCAGAATCTGATGAAAATAAGAATCATGGAGGAGTCACCCAAGAAGCATTTGATCTTATGATTAAAGGTACAGAAAAACTATATAGATTTGTTTTGAAATTTTAAATTATAATATAAGGTAAATAGTTATTAATACTATAATGAATTCTGCCTCTTAATTTGGGGATACTATTAGATATTTCATTTGTAAATATAAGAAACTAAATTGAGCAGATGTGACCATTTATTTGGCAAGATCCAAAAGTGAGTTGTAAATATTAAGATGGTAGCAATTAATGTAACACCTCTGATAATAGATTGTGTTAGGATTTACAAGATTTGTAAATAGGCTTTTCAAAACAAAAATAATGAATTTGACTAGTCTGAGAGATTATGAGCTAATAGAACCGCTAAGAACAGGGCTGAGAAAAAAAAAAAAAAAAAAAAAAATATAAAAAATTTAAAAAAAAAAAAAAAAAAAAAAAAAAAAAAAAAAAAAAAAAAAAAAAAAAGAACAGGGCTGAGGAAGAGGGAGTAAAGATGAATGAAAACTATTATGTTTGAGATAAATACAAATTTTAATGGAATGGTAGTAGAAATTAAAAGTGGAAGCAGGTAATGTAAGGTGAAAGATTTTTACTTTTATATTAATTGTAGGTTATTAAATGTTATTGCTGATGAGAAATTGAGACCTTGAGAAGTTAATGGACTTGTTCAATGTCACAGTGACATTGAGGTTTATTCTGAGTTGCCTGGGATACAGTAAGGAAGAACACAAACATCATGGGGTTTTATTAGGAAAAATCAGAAAAGGTTGGCTGGATAGAAATAAAGAGCCAGGTGTGGTGCTCCATGCCTGTAATTCTAGCACTGGGAGGCTGAGACAGGAGGTCATATCTTGGGTTATGTAACAAGTCCTTGTCACACACACACAAAAGAAAAAAAGCTCTTTGATAATATTATAGAATAAATAGTAGGACTTCTGATACTTAAAACTCATTTGGGAGGGGTTGGAGAAGGCTCAGTAGAATAAGCACTTCCCTGGCAAGTACAGGGGCCTGAGTTTAATCCCCAGTTCCAGAAAGGAAAAATAAACCAACTCATTTGGTTGAAATTAACAAGGATTGGTTAAAAAGAAAAAGAAATTAAATCGCCAGGTATGGTGGCCCATGCCTGGAATCTCAGCACTCAGGAGGCAGAGGCAGGATTGTTGCAAGGCCAGCGTAAACTGCATAGTGAGACCCTTTTTCAAAAAGAAAAAAAAGCAAAAAAAATTAAAACACATTCAATAACCAAGCAGCTCACCTGTATATCATATTGCTAGTATGACCATGAATAAGAAAAAGCTTTTTTCATGTAACTTGAACATATAGCTGACTTAACATCTTGAATGAGATGTGTTTTAAGAATTAAAGGAACTATGGGACTAGGGAGATAGCTTAGTAGAATAAGCGCTTACCTGGCAAGTACAAGGGCCTGACTTCAATCCTTGGGTTTACCAAAAAAAAAAAGAATTAAAGGAACTGAACAGGAATCTTGAACTTTACTAAATTTAGCTCAGCAGATTAAAGCGCCTGCTGAGAGGCAATTGAGACTGGGTGTGGTGGCTTGCGCCTGTAATCCCAGCTTTTGGGAGGCTGTAAACAAGCAGATCACTACGAGTCTGATCTAGTAGTGAGACCCTGAACACCCTGTATAGCTTTCCCTAAAAAATAAAAAAAATTTTAAAAAATTTTAAAAAATTAACTTTTTTTGGTGGCAATGGTTTTGGTTTGGTAATTTTTTTTTTTATTTTTTGTGGTACCAGGAATTGAATTTGCAACCTGCACTTGCCAGGCAGGAACTGTGCCACTTGAGCCCTAGTCCCCTGGTGTAGTAATTTTTTTTTTTTTTTGGCGGAACTGGGGATTGAACTCAGGCCCTTACACTTGCCAGGCAAGTGCTTATTCCATTGAGCTATCCTCCCTGGCCCCTGGTGTAGTAATTGTCAAAACAATTTTGTGTATATTTTAGTATTGACCTAATGAGTAATATATTGAGTGTTGGTTTCATAATACGGTAAATGGAATGGGAAAGGAAAGGAAGAGCTATTGAATTGGAATTAGGGTATCAGTACAAACTGATGGTCTTTAGAAAAAGTAGTATGTTTCCTACTTTGCACTGAAAGGGCCTAGAAACAAATCCTATCAAGTAGCCAGGAGTACACCAGGAATTCAGTTACTGGTTTGTAAACACTCTTCTCTTTACAAGGAGAAATCTGGCAATTAGTGTCTTAAACAAATGATCAAATTTGAGATCCCTGGGGCTGGGGAGACTCAGAAAAGTAGGTTTTTACAATAAGATTTTAAGTTATATGTAAAGCATTAATTTATTTCAGAAAATCCATCTTCTCAATATTGGAAAGAAGTGGCAGAAAAACGAAGGAAAGCTCTCTATGAAGCCCTTAAGGAAAATGAGAAAGTATGTACTAGATATAATTTGTACTATTGAAAATGTTTCTAGGATTAGAGCTGGATGTGGGGGCGCACATGTGTAATCCGAGTGGTCAGGAGCCTGGGCAGCAAGATTACTGTTGGAGGCCAGCCTGGGCTAGGTAGTGAGAACTTCTCAGCCTCCTGTCTCAGTAAGGTTTCTAAGATTGTTTTCCTTTTGATGTGTAGTATATTTATTTTAAACAATGTAAACTAGTTTTTGGGTTTTTTCTTTTTCTTTTTTCTTTTTTCTTTTTTTTTTTTTTTTTTTGGTAAACTATTTTTATAATGCTGGCTTAAGTCAGTCAAGTTTGAGTACAACAGTAATTCAGTTGCCAAAATTGTGTGAAGTGAATCTTGTATTGAGAGCTAAGCATACGCTACATGTCTGTCAGTTGTGTAGATGGAGACAGATAATTTGGTTCATAGCATAGCAAATCTATGGAATATTGAACTTTATATTTATGTTATACAGCTTCATAAAGAAATTGAACAAAAAGACAATGAAATTGCCCATCTGAGAAAGGAGAATAAAGAATTGGCAGAAGTAGCAGAACACGTACAGTATATGGCAGAGGTGATCGAGGTAGGTAATTTAGTATTCACCTGATTCAAAGGCATCTGATTTTCTATAAAGTTGAGTAGCGGTGTGAGCAGTGTTTGGGATCTAGAACCAGACTTCTTGGGTTTGGGGTTTCACTCATAGATCCCTGCCTAGTACCATTAAGTATCTTGACTAGGACAAGTTATTTATCCTACTGTGGCTTCATTTTGATCTATAAATGGGAGTTGTAAATGCCTACGTTTGAGAAAGATAATGGAAAGTTATGTCATAATTGATGTTGGTAGGTGGTGTTCACTTTAATTTTATACCAGAATGACATTAACTTTCATTTGTAGAACTTAACTGGTACACTAAATAAGTTTGGTGGTTTTATTTGACTTTAAAATTTGGAAATAGCTAATGTGTTTATAAGAATTGGCCTCACAACTTAGGGTTAAAACAGGTTTTATGACATATTTGGGGAAAAAAATTAAAAAGTTCTGCCTTCCTGATGGGAAGTTTTTCGAATGAAAACTTCTGTGGTGAATTGCAGCCTTAACATTTTAAGAGCTGTGACAGAATTAATGTTTTGAGTTTTCAGTTGAAGTACTGTAGTAACCCTCTTACCTGCCTTAAAAGTACTGTGGTACTCCAGTTCACAAACTTGAATCTGTAAGATTCTGGTTGCAAACCAAGTTGGACAAGAACTGAATCAAATTTCAGTGATTAGACTGAGCATGGTAGAATACAGCTATCATCCCAGCACTTAGGAAGCTGAGGCAAGAGGATCCTGGGAGTTCAAGGCCAGTTTGAACTACACAGTGAAGCTCTATCTAAAAAAGAAATTCAAATGATTAGGTTCAGTGTTGCCCTGATGGAGAAATTTGATTCAGTTCTTAATCCAGTCAAGTTTGCAACCAGAATTACAGAGAGAATTACAGCGTTATCACTGTACTGTATTGCTCTGTAGCTGCTTAGAAATTTAGAACATTTGTTTCACCATTTCAGCTCATTAGAGAAGTACCAGTTACAATTGTGGTTTGAGTGAGTGTGATGGTGCGCGCCTGTAATCCCAGCACTCTGGAGGTCGAGGCAGAAGGACTACTGCATGGTTGAGGCCTGCCTGGGCTGCATAGTGTTCAAGTCAGCCTGTATTACACAGTGAGACTCTGTCTCTCTACCCTTCATCCCCAGTGGGGCTTTAAGAACAAGTAGTTTAAAAAAATTGGCACATTGTTAAACATTGATTTTGCACACCTAGATATAGCATATACTGTTTGGTAAGTGAACTTTATTGAGGGGCAAGATGGAAAAATTCTTAATGCAATAGTGAGGGTCAATTATGTCAGCATACTCACAGTGAACTTGAATTCAAGTCTTTATAATAAATTACTGTTTTTTTTATTATTGTTTGTTTTTTTAAAGAGACTGTCTCGTGAACCTCTGCATAGCTCTGAATCATCTGACAGCCAGGAATTTGATTTTGGAGAGGAAATTGCTGAGGATTCTGAAGTGGAAGACTCAGAGAGTGCCGCATGTGAAGAAACCGTTTCTTCTTCTACAGATGCAGAGCCAAGTACATGAAGTTCATGAGTATTTGACTCAAGAAATACACTGCCAATGCTTATTACCTCCATTTCAGTTCTGTGTAGCAGTGCAAATAACTACATAACGGAAATGCTGGAATCACGTTTCTTTGACTACTGGGACCTGAATATTGTATTCAAATACTATATATTTTTAATCTGTGTTTTATGTAAATAATAGTTTTACTCAGTTGTCAGGTATGACTTACGTATATGGTACGATAAATAAACTTGAGTTTCCTATCTTGAAAGAATGAAGTATGAGAAGTCTACAGAAAACGCCTATTTCTAGCCTGTTACACTGTTTGCTTTCTGTTGCTGCCTTGGAAAACATGAGGGGAAGATGAATTTGTCCCATTTAGACTGAGATAGCTGAAGTTTCAACTCTCCACTCAAACCTGGTTGTATCTCAGATGTACTGTATTAGAGACTTTCAGACCCCATTCTCAAATATTCCTACTGAGTAGTTTTTTTTTTTTTTTTTTGTGGAACCGGGGATTGACTGGGTAGGTTTTGGACCAGAGCATGGCAACCTGTTTTCCACAAGTTTCCCCAAGTGGATCTGATTACTGCAGGAAAGGCTTGACTGACTGGTGTTATTTGTGGAAATGATTGATGATAGGGACAGTACTTTTAGAAACAAAGTTGGGAGAGGTGGTGAAAATCCGGTGGAGAAACAGTACCAGGTTATACAACTGCTGTTTACATATAGAAAAATAAGAGTAGGTTGAGATTAATGAGGGATTTTGTATGCATACTTTGTTTTGAAGGAAAGAACAATTAAGGACATCGTTTGCAAAGTTTATGGCATTGGTATTACATACATTTTCAGTGGATCCTTGTTAGGACCAGCCTGAGATACTAGCAACTTGGGTTATGACGAGAACTTGTGACCAAAGTCTTGAGGAGTTATGACCTGAATGTTGGCCACTTCTGCTTCCAGGTGGTCTCAGATAGATTTAACCCTTAAAGAGTTCTGTAAGGAACATCACAACCTCCTTCCCTGTGTATGGTTAATTGTGAAATACAGGGCCAGTGTCTCTAAGGACACTGAGAACTGCCTGTGTACAGGAGGGAAAGCTTGAAAGCTGTGTAGAGGAGCCTAGGCCAGCCTTGACAACTTGAGTTAAACCAGCCCTGGGGAACGCATTGAGTTTGTGAATCAAGGGTCCACTGTTGTGATAAGTATACTAGTAGTTTTGTATAAATTAATAAAAGCAATACCACGCTTTACAGATTGCTTTTTAGATGTTCCTGTATAGAACCTCATGTGATGTGCAGTCTTGAGATAGAGCACACCTCAGTGTTACAAGGATTAAGACCTTGTAGTAAAGTACTTCTCAGCCTTTTACCTGAACTATAGTAAGAAATAGAAGCTGTTACTAATACCACCTTGTCCAGTAGCACTTTTGAAGTATTAGAAATATGTGCTGTCCAGTACAGTAGACACTACTGAGCACTTGAAATATCATTGTAAATGAGGACTGTGAACTTTATATTTAAGGGGGCAGGCCAAATAGCTCAGTGGATTAAAGCTCCTGCAAGCAGGCACAGGGGCCGGGGGTTCAATCCCTGGGGCCTGCCATGCCGGCCCAACCCCCAGGGGTATGGGGCTGGTTATATAAACTTACTCTGCCCTCCAGTGGAGTGCTCTCAAGAGCACGAATGAATAAACTTTATGTAGAAGTAAATCTGAGATGACTGGTTTGTATAGCTACTACTATGTGTTAAGGGCCAAGATACATATACATATATATATATATATGCACGTATGCATATTGTATATTGTATGTAGATAGCCTCTGGGAAGAGCAGCGTTGTTTTTGCTTTTTGCTCTTAGCACTAGTTTTTACATTTTTAGTGGGTCACATGTTTGCTTTTCTGTATCTAATATTTTCTTCCTACATATGTAGCTCCTGGCTTTAGTGGGGTTGATTTACCTGACTTGTGACTTCTGAAAAATGCTATGTGTGTGGCTCAGCTCTTCCCTTACTTTGAGGAATGGGGCTGGTATTGCTCTTTTCTGCTGCTCTTGGCCCAAGGATAGACTGAAGTCAAATTATTGATTAAATGTAAAGACACTATTTGGGCATGCAGGTTCTCAAATTCTTACCTCCTGTGTCTTTCTTGGTACAGTTCTAGAAAATCTCCATATTCAGTTGTAAGGATGAACCACAGAGAGGCAGGAGAGTGTACAAGATACATGAGCTGCAGCATGGAGTTGTGATGGGGGAGGGTGTGGATATTGAAGAAAATCCTTAAATAATATAGAGTCCAAAAATATGCATACTTTAGGAAAAAAAATAGTGTATATTTTCAACAAATGGTGTTACCCTCCTATGGGGGATACTAGAGGAAGTCTTGTATCACAGAAAAGCCACTGCCCCTGGGTCCCTTGAAGAAATTCAAAATTAATGTGCATCGGTCTCAATGGCCAAGGTTACCCCAGCAGTTAATTTTGCTAATTAATGTCAAAAGCTAATGGCCAACACTTTGAGCACCTCCTGTAATTGTAGAGGTCAAGGTTAACTTGTATTTATTTCATGATGTTTCAATACATTTAGTATTAAAAGTATTTATACCAAAAAAAAAAAAGAAGAAGAAGAAGTTGTTGTTGTTAAATTATCATTATTTGCAGATGACATGATACTTTACTTGGAAGACACAAAAAACTCCACCAAGAAGCTACTAGAACTAATACAGAAATTCAGTAGCATAGCAGTGTATAAAGTCAATACTCAAAAGTCAATATCATTCTCCTACACAGATAACAAACAAAAAGGGAAATTAGAGACACAATACATTTTATAATAGCACCGAGGAAAACAAAATATCTTGGAATTCATCTAACTAAACAACTCACAGATCTTTTCAAGGAAAATTACAGTAATCTTAAAAAAGAGATCGTAGAGGATTTCAGAAAACAGAAAGATATTCCATGCTCCTGAATAGGAAGAACCAACATTGTGAAGATAACCATACTCCCAAAATTGCTGTACAGAATTAAGGCAGTTCCTATGAAAATACCACTAGCATAACTCGTAGACCTAGAAAAATCTTACCTACAATTTATTTGGAACCAGAAAAGACATAGAATAGCAAAGGCAATCTCAGCAAAAAATACAAAGCAGGAGGCATTACAATTCCTGACTTGAAATTATACTACAAGGCTACTGTGATAAAATCAGAGTGGCACTGGCAACAAAATAGACCTGAGGATCTATGGAATAGATTAAAAGATGCTGAAGCCTCTGCAAACACACTCAGCCACCTTATGTTTGACAAAGGGGCCAATCATACTCACTGGAAGAAAGATAACTTCATTAACAAATGGTACTGAAAAAACAGGATCTCTACATGCCAAAACATAAATTTTGACCCAGGTCTATCACCATGCACCAAGCTAAAGTCAAAATGGATTAAAGATCTAAACATTAAAACAGAGAAGCTAAATCTCCTGGAAGAGAAAGTAGGAGGAACTCTTGAAGACATAGGGGTAGCAAAGACTTCTTGAACAAAAATCAAATCTCACAGCAAACACTTGAAAGAATTAATGACTGGACTTCATTTGATTGAGAAGTTTTGCATGTCAAAAAAAATTCATAACAAAGTGAAAAGACAACCCACAAATTTGCAAAGCTTCTTGACAAATAACTACTCAGACATAGATCTGCTCACTAGAATTGATAGAGAACTAAAGAAAACTAGGGCCCCAAAATTTAAAGACCCAATCCGGAAAAGGGCATC